TATGTTGGCCCCACTGGGCCCGGAGCATCATCCCCAGCAGGCCCAGAGAAAGCCAGGGTCCCCTCTCGCTCTGGGTAGATTAGAACTGCAGAGAAGCAGCACACCCATTTTCGTTGGGATCTTCTATACATTGAAGACCTCCCCTGTCCTCGCTCACTCCTCACAGACCAGAATCCACCAAAGAAGAAAAAAAAAAAATCAGGCCCAGAGAGTGCTGACTAATAGCCTCAGCTTTGGAATTGGAATGATACTATTTTTGTTTCCATTCTGTCTTTATAGTTTGAACTTTCCTTTTGGTAGTCTGTAAATATTCATCATCTCAGAGCCTTTTGAATTGCAATGGCTTTTAGTCAAAACTGAGCAAAATGTGCCATTTGAATAATAAAAACCTCATTAAAGTGAGGCAAAAGAAATTCTTTTCCTTTTGTCCAAGCCAATTAACTGTCTTTACAATTAAAAAAAAGTCTAACACTTTATAGTTTCATATTCCATAAGCCTGTTTTTTAATTAATGGAGGTGACAGGTTTTAGGTACAGGGTACATATTTTGCCTCTGGTGTTGTGCAGTTAACATTAATGAAAGGTATTAAAATTTGGTGAAAGAGCAGAGGATTTCCCATGTCCTCTGTGGATTCATGCCTCCAGGCTGAGGTCTTTGGTAACAAGTTTCTTGATGTGTTTTGCATTTCCTTGAGAAAATGTATAGGCAGGGATAAAGGTAACTAGAGGAGGCCACGTTGTTAATAAGAGGTGTGGTGTCAGAATTCCAAATGCCCAGGCCTATCCTAAAGACACGGAAACACTGCAAAAATCAACTTTGAAGAGTTGTGTTTTCTCCTGTGGACAGAAGGGAAGGGTATAGAGACAAAGGAAGTAACTGATTTAACCTGGCATGTACCTTGCACAGTGCTGGGATTTTACTCATCACAGCCTTGGGAGGGGTGTAAGCTGCTGTTCTAAGTTCACAGGGAGCAGAGACAGGTTTACAGATGTTAACTAACGGGCCACAAGTCAGGTAAGTATAGTGACATGACTGAGGTAGAATTTCTGTCAGCACTTGTCTCTACCCATTTAAGGGAGCTTATCTAAGAAAGAAGGTATTGTGCAGTAGCTTTGAACTCACCTGATCTTCTTATTTTGTTTTGTTCTTAATCATTTGCTTCTTTATTTTAGCTGTTTCTGATTCTTATTCAGACCATAGGATGTTTGTTTCTAATCTCTTGTTTTCTTGCTTGTAAAATGTTGATAATAATACATATCACTTAAGTTTCTTATGTACACAAAGCTATTAATAAATGCGTAATCCCCATTTATCACTCAAAGGAAAAAAAAAGTGTCAACAACTCTGAAAAAGTGAACCAAGTATTCGAGATGAAAACTGAAAGGAGCTCACATATAATTCATATATTCACTTGGCCCTTTTCCCCTTTCTCTCTCAAAGTTTTTTTCCAGTGGTCTTGCCTTGCTACAAAATATGGGTTATTTTGGTTTTAATGAGTAGATTCTGTTTTGATTTGAAATAGGCTCTGATGAATGTTCTAGGTAGACCAGATGCCTCAAAGCATTTTTTGTCCACCTCTTCAGAGTAACTGGATTGTTGGGGGGCTGTGCATTGACAACTGGGGGGACCATAAGTGGAAAACAGGTGATCCCAACCAAACACAGCTGACCTCAGCCACATCAGCACTTTTAGGTCTTAGGTAGGTGATGAATTGGAGCTTTATCAGGCAACAGAACAAATAAGATAGTTTCTCAGTGAGACCTAGTGGCAATGAGATTTACATAAATACTTTTTAAAAAACAGTGAGTTAATTCTTTTTTCCTCTAGTGATAAATTAATTCATGCTTTCTACCACGCATTTATTATGAATTCTTAATGAAATTAGTATCGAGATCATTAATAATATCATTAATATTATGAATAATTAATGAAATAATACCGATTCTTAGCAAACTCTAAGAAAAAAATGAATAGGAGAGAAAACTTTTCAACTCACTATGTAAGGCCAGTATTAGTCTGATTTGAAAACCAAATAAAGACATCACAAGAAAATTACAGACCAGTATCACTTAGGAATATAGATGTATACATGTTCAACAACATATTAGCAAACCAAAAGCAGCAATATATAAAAGGGATTATACACTATGGCAAGGTGTGATTTATCCAAGGGATTCTAGGTGGCTTAACATCTGAAAGTCAGTGTAATATACCATATCAGTAAAATAAAGGATATGCCATTGGACACAGGAAGAGCCTTTGAAAAAGTCCAACACCTTTCGTGATAAAAACACACAACAAACTTGGAGTAAAAGGACATTTCCTCAACCTGATAAAGGGCTTCTAAAAAAAAAAAAAAAAAACCCACACCTAACCTTCTACTTAATGCTAAAATATTGAATGCTTTCCCTTTAAGATCAGGAAACAAAACAAGGATATTAAATCTTACCACTTCCATTCAATAGTGTGCTGGAAATGCTAGTCAGAGTAATTGGGGGTGGGAAGGAGATGTTCCAGTTGGAAAGGAAAAAGTAAAACTATCTTTATTTGCAGGCAAAATGACCTTAAGTGTAGAAAATACTAAGAAAGCCACTTAAAAAAACAATTAAATCTAATAGATAATTTCAGCAAGGTTGGGGGATAAAAAGTCAATATGCAAAAATCAATTGTATTTCTATACACTAGTAATGAATAATTCCCAAATCAAATTAAGAAATCAGTTCTGTATGCCATAGCATCAGAAAGAATAAAATACTTATGAATACATTTAATGAAAGATGTGATAAATTTGTATTGTGAAAGCTATATAATATTTAAGAAGGAGATTAAAGAAGACCTAAATGGATATAAAGACATCCCATGTTCATGGATTAAGAGGCGTAATATTGTTAAGAAGACCATATTCTCAAAATTAATCTGCAATTTTTTTAAAAAGGTTTTATTCATTTTAGAAAGAGAAAGCACAAGGGGGGGATGGGCAAAGGGAGAGGGAGAAGCAGACTCCCCACTGAGCAGGGAGCCCGCCTCAGGGCTCAGTCCCATGATCCTGAGATCATGACCTGAGCTGAAGGCAGAGGCTTATCTGACTGAGCCACCCAGGCACCCCGATCTGCAAATTTAATGTAAACTTTATCAAAATTGCTGTTAGCTTTTTTGCAGAAATTGAAAGCTGACTCTAAACTTTATATATGTGCATGCAGGGCTCCTGACTAGCCAGCCCAAGCTTGAGAAGGAACAACATTGAATTACTCACTTCCCATTTTAAAAATTTATTGCAAAACTTTACTAATAAAGACTATAGTACTACCATAATAATGGAATAGAATTGAGAGTCCCAAAATAAACTCTTTCAGTTGGTCAATTGATTTACATCAAGGGTGCCAAGATCATTCAATGGGGGGAAGAATAGTCTTTTTAACAAACAAAGCTAGGGTGCTTGGGTGGCTCAGTGGTTAAGCGTCTGCCTTTGGCTCAGATCATGGTCCCAGGGTCCTGGGATTGAGCCCCGCATTGGGCTCCCTGCTCCGCGGGAAGCCTGCTTCTCCCTCTCCCACTCCTCCTGCTTGTGTTCCCTCTCTTGCTGTGTCTCTCTGTGAAATAAATAAATAAATAAATGAATGAATGAATGAATGAATGAATGAATAAATAAATAAATAAATATATATATATATATCTTTAAAAAAAAAAAACCAACAAAGCTACAACAGTTGTAATACCTGAATGCCAAAGAATGAAGTTAGATCTCTTGCATTCACCTTACTTCTGTGTTAGCTTACAGTGGATCATAGATCTAAATGTAGGAGCTAAAACTAAAACTCTTAGAAGAAAAGATAGAAGTGTATCCTTGTGATGTTGTGTTAGGCAGTGGTTTCTTAGATAGGACCCCAAAAGCACAAGTGACAAAAGAAAAAAATATATACAACTTGCATTTCATCAAAATTAAAACTCAGAAAGAAGATAATTTAAGACATTTTGGGGTTCCACCCACCTCTAGAGACAACTATTATTCACATTTTTGTGTACCTTTCATTAATATTTTCTGTGTTATGTGATCATACAATATTACATATTTTGTTCTATAACATGCATGTTTTAAGGGTCAAAAGATGTATCATTTTAATGGCTGCATAGTATGCATATATTCAGATTCATTTAATGATTTCCCAATTTTATATTTCATTTATTTTGTAATATTTTGATTTTATAATGTAATTACAAACACTATGGATAGCCTTTAATATATGCCTTTTTACAATTCTTGTTAGCACCTTAGGATGATTTCCCACAAGTACCATTTCTTTATGAGGATTTAGGATTTTGATTCACATGAAAGGCTTACTTTTACTTTTTAAAATTTTATTATGAAACAAATTAAATATATTCAAAATAGGAGAAAATATTATAATAGACCTCCACTTACCCATCCCTGGGCTCCCTTGTTTCTAAAGTGTAGATATAATTTGACCTCTGGGAGGAATATATTCAAACAATGTGTGCCTGTCTCTTTAAACAGAGAGTTTCCCCCTTGATCCATTTACTTAGAACCTATTAAATGCTGGTTCCTGTGTTGGTCTTTATACAACCTGTATTCTCTTTTATTTCTTACATATTTCTTACATTATTTCTTACATATCTCTCTTTATTTCTTACAAATACCTTAAGGGTTATTTTGATTTTTTAGGTGAAGAAGCTAAGAATTGGATAAACTAAGATGCACATATAAAATTAGGTGTTAGAATCTGGGTTCCATCCAGGGTGACCAGTTTGCCCAGGGTGGTCCCAGTTTGAGCACTGAAAGTCCTGTATCCTGGGGAACTCCTGGTGCCCTGCAGCTCGTCACAGTCTAAGCCCTTCCCCAGCAGCATGGCTCATGCTGTGACATCCCATTTCCAACTGATGAATCTTGAAGACAGGGAAGAGTTGATTATTCCTGTCAGAACATGGGTTATTCTTGGTTTTGGTGTTTATGTCTGCACAGTGTTGGATGTTTTATTTTTCAGATCTCTTCACGTGCTTGTGTGCAATGCAGCAGCTTTTGCTCTGCCCTGGAGCCTCACCAAAGATGGCCTGGAGACCACCTTCCAGGTGAATCACCTGGGGCACTTCTACCTTGTCCAGCTCCTTCAGGACGTCCTGTGCCGCTCAGCTCCTGCCCGAGTAGTTGTGGTCTCGTCTGAGTCCCATAGGTGGGTTAGCATCTGATGTTTTTTTCCATCTGGCCCCTTGTGTCAGCCAGTATCTTCCCGAGGCTCCCTTTCCCAAAAATACTTTTCAGTGATGCTCCTCTGGAAAGTGTGGGTGCACTCAATCTGGCTTCCTTAATTTTCCGAGGTCTTTCTCTTGTTTTGAGATTGTGGAGGATTATTTGGGGGGTTTTGTCTACAGCAATGTAGATGGTTTTTACAACTATACTTCAAGCTCCTCATTGATTTTGCTTCGAGATGGAATAATAATTGATTAAATCTGAATGCCTGACCTTTATCGATTTGTCATTCAACAACTTCAACACCTCACCAAGAAGAATGTGCAGTTATTCTAGCTGGAGAAACAATGCAATTAAAGACTGCGAGATGAAATCCAATTGTTTTATAATGAGAAATTAGGGAATTCAATGCAGACATTAGCTGAGTAATTGTAGAAAGGGAAAGTACTGTAGTTAGAACATATTAGAAATCTGGCCATGCCTCTTTTGGTTAAAATTTCAATTAAAACATCAGATGGCACTTCTCTTCTATTACCATTAGGAGAATATCCAATTGACTGAAAAGGCATTTGAAAATTTCATCGTATTTTTAGCATATTTGTTTCTGGAGTTGGATAAACAACTATTTGTCTAAAGAGAAGTAGTCGGAGAAGACAAAGGACTTCCCGGGTGAGGCTAGATTTAATGCATGTTAGGGAGATTTTCCTGGTGTGGTTGGGAGCTTTCACTCTTTGCAAAGTAGCTGGAAAAAAATAATGTGCAAGGGTCTGTTTTTTTCCCCTTCTTCTCCGTCTTAAGTCCTGAAATGTTTTAGTGACCCAGAATGAAGCTTATTTTTTTAATCATGCTTCCATAAAATGTAACCCCTGGGACTTGGAATAGAGAGACCAGCCAAGGGTTAGCTTGAACCCTTTATCACTCCCAAACACAGGGGCTTATGGTATAAGTGACACATTGCAGATAGATTTACTTTTACCATTTTAAATTTATGATGGCTGAAATGAAAGGAAATGCCCGTAATAATCCTCCCCCGTGTTAAAAGACATGAAACATCTAGTAATTAGGTGGTAACAAAATCTGGACATCCTTATCTTTGCAAATCACACCAGGTTTGTGTGGGGAAAAAAAAAGTGGAGTGGTCCTGCTCAGGAGTGAGGGAGGCTACTGTGGAGGCCGGCACAGGAGAGCAAGCTCCGGAAATAAATCTGCCAGCCGCGATCGTTTGCCAGATGTGGAGGGCACCACGGGATATGTTTAAATGAGTTGGTATTTAATGGGAGATTATGTTGAATTGTCAGCTGCTTGCTTCCCTTTGTAAATCTGTATCTCAGATGGTATTTCATGTGACGTCTTTGTTCTCTTCTTAACTGCCGCCTAATTTGAGCCTACCTTGGAGATCTGAATCTTAATTTCATGGAACAGACGAATTGGAAGGAATGGCCTTGGTCTCCTGAATTAGACCCATTTTGTTTACAGACAAGGACTTCCTGAAATGTCTTATCAGGCCCACTCCTGTCTGCTGATTGGCACTGGTTTTTCTGGTCATCCTTGGCACCTGTTAGGGGTTATTTTTACAAAATGCTAATTCCCCCAGCTGGTTTGTTTATGACCCTTGTGTTGCCCTCCTGCGGTGCCCGAAACAACAGTGTGAGTACTGGGTGCACAGTCCTGGGAAAACACTTGCTCACTGTTCAAGGACCCAGAGCCCTAAACCATGTTGTAAAAGGGAAGTGTTGATATCTAATTACCTCCATAAACCTTGGCAGAATCTTTTCGCTGGAGTCAAGACCCCCTGTTAGGGGAAAAATAAAGTCCTATGTTTGCAGAAAAATATTATACCAGACTGCCCCCAGGCAAAATATTTATTAGCCTTCCCGTGTCTTCATTGTATTTTAGTTACTTATCTGGATTCTGAGCAAGTGAATGGAGTTTCTGCATACCCAAAATACATCATATTAAAATGAGAACTCTACTTCCTTGCTGTGAAAAATTTTCAGACAACAGTTAAAATAGAATGAAAAGAGCGGAGGGCTGGCTGTACAACTCTGAATGGCTGCAGCTGTGTTGAGTGCCAAGTTGCTACACACACACACACACACACACACACACACACACACACACGCACACGCACGTACAGCTTCTGACGCAAATTCAGTCTTATTCTTTGAACATACTAGCTTTTGTCTACATAGAATCCAGCCTAATTATTTTTGTTTGGTAATTTAAAAATCCTTGGTTAAAAAAAATAAAGGAGCAGTATATATAGAAATATAAGATACAGGTCCTCACAAATAGCAAATGTTAATGTCCAGAGAGCAAATGTTCACGTTTTACTGTATTGGTAAGAGGATAATTCTATTAAGACATTATTGTGTGGCTTTGTCAATTTTTCAACTTGAAAATAGGGTAAGCAGCCTTTGAAGAGTTGTTTTACTGCCTCTTGAGCTGAGAGGTGAACATGGTCGTTTTTCAGGAAGCCTGCCCTGGTTCAGAGGAATCAGAAAGCTTGCCCACCCTTCTCGTTTCCCAGAGGACTGTCAATACAAGCTAATCAGACCTTAAAAATGGGTCTGCTGCTCAGGAGATCAGCAGGGCAGGAAGTCACGGGTCCGCTTATGGAGGGGGGCTGCTTGCACAGGGCGGGCCTGCCTTATAGTAGCTGTGCTTCTCCATCCTGAGAACTTACTTCAACTGGGTTCCATCTAATTTCTCATCATGGGGTGTTTGTGTGTGTGTGTGTGTGTGTGTGTGTGTGTGTGTGTGTGTTTCACCTTATTTCTAGATTAAGGACTAGGAATGATTTCCTTTCTCCCTCTTAACTTCCCCGGTGTTCCCCGTCATGAGATACTTCTGTGTTGTCCTTAAAAACCAAAGCAGGGAATTCATTCTAAACTTTAGCCACAGACATATTGATGAAGAACCTAGAGGACCTGAAGCTTGTGCTAAATTCTGCCTTTGGAACAAGGCTCAAAACAAAGCTTTTTGTAATAAGGGAAACTTGGCTTAGTTTGGAATTCCGAACCCACGACCAAACTTTAATTCTCTAATCCTGTATTTAGTCTCTGTTCTGTGTCAGGCACTGTGGTGGGCAATATGCAAGGAGCTTACTGTCCACCTTCTAGAAATTCACAGTCCAGAGTTGGAAGCAGGTGAATAAATGGCTTGCAGTCTGGTGTGGTAAGGACAGAGGCACACTGTACAGATAAAAGGCAAAGATGGCATGATTTGCTTTGTTACTGATGTTGGGGTGGGGGCGGTGTGGGGTCATTGAACACTAGGGACATCGTGGCCTGGGTCCTGACGAGTGGGTACCTAATTTCCATGGAAACATGTCTTTCCATCTGCTTTGCATGGCTTTTTTCTTTTTTTTATTATTATGTTAACCACCATACATTACATCATTAGTTTTTGATGTAGTGTTCCATGATTCATTGTTTGCGTATAACACCCAGTGCTCCATGCAGAACGTGCCCTCTTTAATACCCATCACCAGGCTAACCCATCCCCCCACCCCCTCCCCTCTAGAACCCTCAGTTTGTTTTTCAGAGTCCATCGTCTCTCATGGTTCGTCTCCCCCTCCAGTTTCCCCCCTTCATTCTTCCCCTCCTGGTATCTTCTTCTTTTTTTTTTCTTAACATATATTGCATTATTTGTTTCAGAAGTACAGATCTGTGATTCAACAGTCTTGCACAATTCACAGCGCTCACCATAGCACATACCCTCCCCAATGTCTATCCCCCAGCCGCTGCATCCCTCCCACCCCCCACCACTCCAGCAACCCTCAGTTTGTTTCCTGAGATTAAGAATTTGTCATATCAGTGAGATCATATGATACATGTCTTTCTCTGATTGACTTTTTTCTCTCAGCATCATACCCTCCAGTTCCATCCACATTGTTGCAAATGGCAAGATTTTATTCCTTTTGATGGCTGCATAATATTCCATTTTTTATATATACCACAGCTTCTTTATCCATTCATCTGTCGTTGGACATCTTGGCTCTTTCCACAGTTTGGCTATTGTGGACATTGCTGCTGTAAACATCGGGGTGCACAAACCCCTTCGGGTCCCTACATTTGTATCTTTGGGGTAAATACCCAGTAGTGCAATTGCTGGATCGTATGGTAGCTCTATTTTCAACTGTTTGAGGAACCTCCATACTGTTTTCCAGAGTGGCTGCACCAGCTTGCATTCCCACCAACAGTGTAGGAGGGTTCCCCTTTCTCCGCATCCCCGCCAACATCTGTCGTTTCCTGACTTGTTAATTCTAGCCATTCTGACTGGTGTGAGGTGATATCTCACTGAGGTTTTGATTTGGATTTCCCTGATGCTGAGCGATGTTGAGCACTTTTTCATGTGTCTGTTGGCCATTTGGATGTCTTCTTTGGAAAAATGTCTGTTCATGTCTTCTGCCCATTTCTTGATTGGATTATTTGTTCTTTGGGTGTTGAGTTTGATAAGTTCTTTATAGATTTTGGATACTAGCCCTTTATCTGATATGTCATTCGCAAATATCTTCTCCCATTCTGTCGGTTGTCTTTTGGTTTTGTGGACTGTTTCTTTTGCTGTGCAAAAGCTGTTTATCTTGATGAGGTCCCAATAGTTCATTTTGCCCTTGCTTCCCTTGCCTTTGGTGATGTTTCTAGGAAGAAGTTGCTGCGGCTGAGGTCGAAGAGGTTGCTTGCATGGCTTCTTTCAATTTGTCCCCCATTGCCACACAAGAAATTGTGGGAATAAGCAGTTGGGGAGAGTTGCCGGGAAGAAATGGCACTCAAGCTGGGCTGGGCTAAACAAATATGCCAAGAATGGTTTCCAGCAAAGTTGATGGAAGAAGAGTGGAGAATGAGAGCAGGATGTTATTTTTATCCCGTACCATTTAGATGCTGCCTAGATCCTTGATGCTACTTTCTACTTAGAGTAGGTAGAATTTCTAAGACATCACCCATATATTGGATCATTGGGTTCTCAGCAGTCTCATTTTGTTATACCTTATTACTACTTGGAAATAAAGTTCAAAAATAATATAACATCCCTGCATAAATATATTTTAATTCAATATGCTAGCTTAACTGTAATGGGAAGAAAAATAAATGTGAAGCAAAATAGCATATTTCTTGCTTGAGCAGGACTACAGGAAAGGTAAGTTATTAGATGTGTGTGTCCATGCAAAAATCACCTGCATTGGGATACTCACAAATGCAGACTGTTAACAGGTGTGTGACATTGAAGACTCAAATACTACTAGCATGGAATCAAGCCTCACCTCCCCCCAAAACCCACGGAATCAGAAAGTGCGTTCATTCTTCATTTGCATGGTTGTTATACTACATTCTTGGAAATGCAGTGGATGTTAAAACTATGCATATATGTACAACACAGCCAGGCTCTAGGATCAGCTAATTATACACAGGCTTTTCATCTGCGTGAATGTCCAGTGGGCCAATCTTCACTGAGCAGACTCCGTCTGCATTGCAGGACATCTACCATTACCGGCCCCCGCCGACAATCATTATAACCACCAGAAAAAGGCTCCCATAAATTTTTAAATTTCCCGCTAAGTTCCACTACTTTGGATGATTAAGCTCAGAAGTCTGGGTCCTTCCTGTGGTTTGGGGAGTTGGAAACAGGCAGCCAACAATTAGTTTCAAGGTCTTGTTGCCATATTCGTGATAACATTTCTGGCCATCGTCTTTGTTGATGACTTCAGAGCAGCAATGTCATTTAACACCAGAAATTGGATGTCACTGACTGAGTCTTGCAGAAGGGAGGTTTAATTTCCATTAAAACATGAATTTCATCTGTCTCTGTGATGCTTTTCCTTGGTCATAGCTCAACCTGAACTCATATTAAGGAACAACCAGATTATTCCATAATTTTCATTTTACCTTTTGGTTCTGTTTCCACAGCAGTTACCCAGAGTACTCTCCTTATGTTTCCTTATTACTTCGTGCAAATGCCCAGAGTTAATTTAGTGAAGGAAACTATGAGGGGTCCCTAACAAGGCTGAGACCATCATCTAGAAAATTCTTTTTGTTACAATTTTTTTTTCTTTTAGGGCAGTCACTACTTTGTTACTTAAGAGAGAGGGAGAGAGGATGAGAGAGAAAGAGAGAGAAAGAAAAGGAAAAAAAGGAAAGAACTAAACAGCTGGTGTTTAATGACTCCGTCAGACCCAATTATAAAACACCAACTACTTACTTTGATTTGTGTGTATCCATGCCATGGGTATACTTAAAAACAGTAGACTCTGCCAGAACTCATTTTGGCTTTGTTTACATTTATCTTTTAAACGTATAAGACTATTGATGGCACCTCACCAAGGTTATAACCCCTTTATAATCATTAATTTTTAATCTGAAAAAGAGTCTTGGGGGCAGCAAGACTCATCTATATTTACTTGGATGCTCGAATGAAAATATACAGGACTCATGTATTGGCTAGAACAACCCAGGAAAGCCCCGTCAGAGGTTAGGAATGTGGTATCTTTCTGCTTCCAAAAGCAGCAGCCCTTTATTTAAGATGCTTTTCCAATTTAATTTAATTATCCTTGAACTTCCTGTTGAAGGTTTTGAAAAATCCATGTTGGGTGGCAGGGCGCGGGGGTGGGGGGAGGGTATGGGAGTTTAGCATGTTATGATTGCCCCATTTCTGAGTTTGGGCCTTTATTTACTCTGTCTTTGGACCCACTTGGTTTATCATGTTAAATCACTATTGTTAGTTTTTAAGGGACACTGTTTCTACGTTTGCACAATTGTGTTCTCAGTTGTCTCTGGTTTCCTCAGATTTCTAATTAAAAAAAAAAGCTAGTATCAGAAGTCAGAGATTGGCTGCTTCATGTCATATTTCTTTCTTCTTCTTCTTTTTTTTTTTTTTTTAGATTCACAGATATTAATGATTCCTCGGGAAAACTGGACTTCAGCTGCCTTTCTCCTTCTAAAAATGACTATTGGGCCATGCTGGCTTACAACCGGTCCAAGCTCTGCAACATTCTCTTCTCCAACGAGCTCCATCGCCGCCTGTCCCCCCGTGGGGTCACGTCCAACGCTGTGCATCCTGGAAACATGATGTACTCCTCCATTCATCGCAACTGGTGGGTGTATACACTGCTGTTTACCTTGGCCCGGCCTTTCACCAAGTCCATGGTAAGTGAACGGCTTCTATCATCGCAAACACCGTAAGTGCGCTCTTTATGGACACACGCATTTTCTTCAGCTTCTCGCCTCTTGTAGTGTTAAGTCTGGTCTTGACGGTGACATCCTCAGGCCCATCAGAGCCATCAGAAAGGGCTCTCGATCGCACTTCAGTTGACTTATATGGCATCTGTTTCTCTAAAGGCGTCTTGGAGGGCTGGATAGTCGATACGGTTTTCAGGTGTTTTGTTAAGGATGGATAAGTCTTGATGGAAATGGTTCTCTTTATTTTGATGCAATTGTTTTATTGCTATTATGCAGAAAGCATAGTATTTGATAATGGTGTTTTGGGTCAGTAGGTGAAAAACATGGATTTGTGACCACTGAATTAGCAGAAGTGATTCCTTTGTTTTCACTGAGAATCTGTATTTGATGTTCTAAATTCTTTAACAAGTGTAAACTTCACCTTGAGAAGCTTTCATTGGTTAGAAGTGCATTTTATTCTTTACCTCCCCAAGGTGAGTCCTTTTGGATGAAACACATTTCTGTGGTTAGATTTGGAAATATTTACAAAGATAAATAGAAAGTTTTTACATTTTTGATGGTTGTATAACAACCATATCTAGAGACTTCTTCCATGAAAACATTTTAATAGAAAGTCTTTTAAATGAACAATGCACATTTTACACTATATTTGGTATGGTATTTTTCTAAACCAGAGGCCTTTAAAGACACCCAGAATTAGTGCATACTACTACTGTTCTAGTTAGATGACTTAACATCTAATCCTCAGAAAGGCCCAGACACATTTTGGCCTTTATGAGTATCATGAGGTGAACTCATTATCTTAGGGAAATGATCCCATGGCCTCTGAATACAGTTTGTCTCCACCAGTGGCCCTTCCCACTTACTGTGGTGGGTAAGGCATTTAACCAGTCGTAGCCTGATTCCTCACAACTAAGATGGCAATAGGGCTTGGTGTGGGGTTTGACCATAACAGATATGACATTTATAATAATGGGTATAGAATTTCTGTCATGATTTTAATCTGACTATCCAGCATGGTGGCCACCTGCCATATGTGGCTGTGGAGACCTTGAAAAGTGGCTAAAATACAGGTAAGAAACTGAATTTTTAATTTGATTTTACTTTAATTAATTTAGATTTATAATTAATTTAGACTTAAATAGCTACACGTACCTAACGGCTTCCAGATTGGAAAGCACAGTTAAATAACGTACCCAACATGGTGTGTGCGTGTAGTAGGTGTGCAGTATTCCTGTTAGGATGGTTGTTATTTTTTGTTGTTACATTACCTTTGGAGAGGACTATTCTCCAAAATGTCATTGTTTGTGTTGCATACAAGGGTCACAGAACTAAAGGAGTATGTAAACCGGGAGGCTGGTGGTGGTGTTTGGGTGGACCTCTGTCTCTGTCCCCAGAGGTCCAAAGAGAAAGTTATCAGCAAAGTAGGAAGGGTGTCCAGATGAAGAGAGCCTGGTCTTGAGCATGTATTTCTGGTTCTCCAGGAAGCCATAGTAGAATGAACTTTCACTGTTCTTGTCCCCAGGTAACTGAAAAACAGCATCTTTTATCTGCCACAAATGTACTTTTTTAGATAAGCATATAAAATATGAAGACTGTGAAATGTGTATATAGGTTTAGATTTTAGGAAATTTCTCTCTAATAGTATCTTTATATACTTAGGTATTTGGGGGTATTCTTAGCCATCAGAGTTGTATGACTTGGTTTATAAAGAGGCGGAATGGAAACTCACTTGTCAAATTCATAGCCAATCACTTCTTGTTCATAAACATTTCGGACTCTGCGCATGTGGGAGAGGCATCAGCATGACTGTAAACTGCGGGGTGGGTCCGTGTCACTGGCGGGGCAGACTGGGCTTACTGGAAAAGTCGCTCTGGTGTTTTATCCTTTTCTACGTGGCTTGACACTGTTTCTGTCAGGATAAGACATTTGTTTTGTGGACTCAGAGTACACTCCTACCTTTTTAACACCAATTATTTTTTGAACATAAGCCATATAGTTGCATCCCATTCTCACCCCCTGTGAAAGTTGGGATCCTAAATGCTCCTGAAGAAGCTTCGCCTGGATGCAGTACCCTCATCACCACTTGGCTGTCTGTGCTTCACAGCTCTGTCCGTGTTGCACAGCAGAAGTGTTTCCCTTGACACAAGTGTAGCTGGAGTACACGTCCCATTGCACAAGGTCAAGGAATCAAGAAGCACAGCCCAGCCTTGTGCTTGGAGGCTCTGCCTTTGCTTCTCCACCCGAGCTGGCTCCCTGAAGTATTAAACAATGGTATTCTAATATCAATGTCCCTGTTTTATTTGCTGTGACTTGCTGTGACTACGGTGATTTTAGTTACACTAATTAGGTCACCCTTCATGGAGTCAGGCTATTTTAAGTACCTCTTTAAGGAATATTGTTGCAGATCAGTAATTTTACAATTGGATGTTCTTGTGCAACTTTATTAAATGTAATCTGTCTTTTAAATGTTGCCCTTTTACAGTTATACATTTCTAATTGTTGCTGTAAATGCATTATCACTTTGAAATTAATTAATTTTTCCATTTTGGCTGCCTGCAGTATAATAATCACTAATGAGAAACTCATAGGGATTAATCTTAGCACAGCGACCCCTACTGGTAAATCTGTGTCTTTGGCACCTTGTCCCCTTGAGGTCTGGAGGTCAGGACAGGTGGATGAGGAGTCTGTGAGGGAAACGTTTGTCTCCCTTCCCACCAATTTTTGTAAAAATAAAAATAATACATACAAATGGGAATAGGATTTTTTTTTAAGAAAGCTTTATGCCCAGTGCGGGGCTTGAACTTACAACCCAGAGATCAAGAGTCACACTGTACCTACTAAGCCAGCCAGATGCCCCGGGAATAAGGGTGTTTTTAAATATTGTTTAAAAAATATACAGGATTCTTTCACTGGTTTTGAAACATCTTAAAGGAAACTAAAGTTTGATGGGAGCTTTCTGATAATGAAGTCACATCCATCATGTGTATTTTCCTGTCTTTCTAGCTTTCTTTTATGCCGTTAAAATACTCTAAAGTTGTATTTTGTGTATGTATGTATGTATGAATATACATTGTAAGTATATATAAAGTATGCATATATAGGTTTTTCTCCAAGTGACATAATTCACAAAACCGGACCCAGTGATAGGAAAGATGTTCAGGGGTAATTTTGGCTGTTGGTGATTGTTACCATGTGTCAACACATGGCAACACTTTAGATTCCTGCCATACTCCCAGGTAGGATGCGACTTGGCACTTTAGGCCAGACATCGTGATGCTTTATGCCTCGGCATGTGTGTCTTCACTGATTCCTCACAATGGCTCTGCAATGTTAGAACCATTACCCTCCTTTTGTAGTTAAAAAGCACAAAGGACTTGCCCATATCATAGACCCTTCAGGGGCTCCTCCTGAGTGCACTTGTTCAGATCACCACAGCACCTCTGTCCTGTAGATCTCTCCTTGTGCACTGAGGTTTTCTCTTTAAAATGTTTGGAAGTACCTTCCTGAACTTAACCCTCAGTCTTCTTACCCCGCACCCCCAATAAACTTTCATTTCTGGTAAACAGCATCTGAGCTCGCGTTCCTAGGTCCAAGCCAGCCCTTTGCAGATCGGTATGTAAGTTTGAAGCTGAACGTTGTCACGTGGCCTCTTAGGGTGTTTTGTGCAACCAAATATTTATGTTGGCAGGTAACAGTAGAAAGAATATCATGTGTTAGGGTAGCAAGAGCTTAGCAGATGTTTTAGGGAACGGCGTTTTCAAATCATTTTACGTTAAAAAATGAGTTTGTAGAACTTCTGGAATGATTGAGTTATGTTTCCTGTGGTCGTGTAAAGCCAGTGATTGTGCTGAGTTTTAACAGATGTGCATCTACCCCGCTAATGGATGGACCTGCAACGCTGGTTTTGTTGCAAAGTTATAAATTATAACTAGAAAAAGCACAAGATGTCATTCTTTTAACCTTCGCGAAAGCCAAGCTGAGTAATTCTGCCCTTGAATAACCTGCTGCAGGGTGATTTATAGTTGTATAATTTAAAACATAATGAAGGAGATAATAGATGTTGATTTGTTCTTTAAATTAGTGTTTTAGAAAAATACTTCCCCCCATCCCCTTTAAATACCTGCAGCTGACTACACTCTAGATACGATCAAGGACAAAACCCCGTTCAAATCTTTACTGGTGCACTGGAGTAAAATGCAGGGGCCTTTTTCTGTGTTGGGAGGAGGAGATACAGTTTTCACTGTAGAAATTTCAGCATATTCTTCACTAATCTAAATATTTTGGGACTCCTGAGTGAGGGTTGAATTCTCTTGCTGCCTTGCTCTGGCCAGTCCAGATATGTCACAAAACTAGACTCCTGAGACCCCACTGTGGTCAGGCCACACTTGACCTTTCCTGCAGAACCCCACAGAAGGACCTAGAGGCCGTGCTCTTTCTGCTGAGGTCACATCCCTGCGACCTCACACATTCTTCTTACTTCCCAGGATTATCATTGGCATTGGTTTTATTAGTCACCTCTGATTCTGTCCAGATCTTTAAAATTAACAGTGTTTGCTCAATTCAGAGTCCAAGGGATATGGCAGAGTGAAAAAGAACAAAGGATTTAGAATCATTAGGCCTGTATTCAAAACGCAACGTTTCCACCTGTTTTCATTATATAAGTTTGAAATGCTTCGGTCTCTTTGAGGCTTATATTCTACGTCAGTTTTCATGTTTTGTGCTGTGGGTTATGAACACCCAGTTAAAAGTGTTTGGAATAATAGTGTTTTGTTTTTCTCATATATCCAGAAATCCAGAGGCTGCCAGGGCTGTGTTTGGCTACTGCATAGGCAGCTCCTTTGTGATTGTCTTGGCTTTTCCCTCATGCTTATAAGATGGCTGCAGTAGCTCCAACCATTGCATCTTCTGTGATGAGGTCTGAAGTTAGAATGGGAGGGATGGAACCCCCTCTTTGCACATCTCTC